GACTCTGGAAAAGCAAAACATATAACGTAAGAGACAAACACCCAAATGTTAGTTTTGGACAATAGTAAACAAGAGAAGACAAAGGAACAGGAAAGGAGTACGAGAAAACCTAACCGCTAAAATATTAATCCGGGCAAGGTCAAATTCCCAGAAAACGAAGGAACAATTTTTTTAAAAAAGAAAATTAAAGAATGAGAGCTTATATCACTAATAGTTCCAAAGGAGAAATGGAAAATCAAGAAAAAGAATTGCATTCGCTGAAGAGATGCGGACATATCGAGAGTTGTTTTGTTTCGTAGTAATCTGGTGGCGTGGCGGTGATAAATTTTGCATTTTCGATAGTGACGGGGAAATTGTCGTTTTAGTTTAGTTTTATATTATATTTAGGGTTAATTACTTCAAATACCATTTATCTTTAGATTTGAATTTGTTTATACCACGAATATTTTAATTTTATCAATTTTAACACTGATGATGACATGGCAGCCATGTTTTTTTGGAGAAAATATAGTAAATTCTACACATATGGGGATTTAAACTTAAGACCTATTGATTCTAATGTTAAAGCTTAATCACTGTGTCAACTTAAATTCTTGCTATAATTTTACAAACATAATATATGTTACATAAGTCACGCATTTCAAATATTATTATCTAAAAAAACCATAAAATTATTTTAATTCTCAAAATAAACCTTAGATTTCAAAAAATCTAAAAAACTCCTAAATTCATAAAAAGTCTAAAAAATTCTATATTATTGAACAAAAACTATTATTATTATTTTCAAATGTTAAAAAACATTTTATATTGATTTTATAATCAAATTTAAATAGAACTCTATATTTTTAAATAATAAAATTTGACTAAATCGATCCAGATTTATAAATTCTATCTAGAGCTAGACTCGTACCTATAAATTTATCAAATTTTTATATATATTTAATTAGAATTAAAATTGAACGTTTGTTAACATCCACCGTTCTCTTCCTATATCAAAACCTATCTCGCCCAATAATAATAATTTAGGGTATAAGGTAACTTTAAATTTCTAAATTTTGTTCTTATTTTTTCGCAATTGATTATTTAAATTAAAAATTTTCATTATTTGAGTTATTGAACCAACAATTTTTATCATAAACCGCTATTATATTGATGTAATTTTTCTAGGAATTTAGGAGTTTTTTTAGATTTTCTGAAGCCTAGTTTTTTTTAATTTAAATAATTTTATGGGGGTTTTTTATAAAATAATATTTGAAATGTATGACTCGTGTCATGTATATTACGTTTGTAAGATTTTACCAAAATTTTAGGTTAGCACAGTGGTTAAGTTTTAGTCTTGGAATCAAAAGGTCTTGACTCTTGAGTTCAAATCCCCACAATGTACAATTTTACTAAATTTTCTCAAAACAAAACTACATCATTTTGGGATTTTTAGCTTCAAATACAGTCATGCCAAAATGACATCGTTTTGGTAAGGTGACCACTTCAGCAACATCACAATGCACGGTTGCCATGTTATCGTCTTGTTAGATCATTAACGACGGAGTGACATAATTTCACTTAAAAATAAATGTTAGTTTTAAAATTGACAAAATTAAAATATTAGTGGTATAAACGAGTCCGAACTTAAAGGTGAGTGATATTTGAAGTAGTTAACCTTATATTTATGTAAGACAAATATTAAAATTCCAAAAGAAAATGGGTAAACTACACTTAATGCCACTTAATTATGGTTTTGATAATAAATAGATTACTTTTCTTCTAAAAGTTATATTAAATTAAAATATTGTTACAAACAGATTATTCAATCGTTAAAATTAAAATATGAGTATAAGATTATCTAATAGAATAGTATCTTTAGTCCCAAAATGTATACGTTTTATTTATTTTATAAGATAGTCTAAAAAATATTTTTTTTTATATTTTTATCTTTTAAAATTTTATAAATTCGTTTTCTTTTAAAACATTATAAATTTATTTCTCCAACGTCCACGTAACTAGACCTAATTTGGTGGTCATTATTTGCTCAATTCCTTTTTGATATAACAAAATATTTGAAAAATTGTTTTTGACAAAACTCTCTTTTATAAAACATTTAATGGAAAAGAGACATATTTTGGAAAATGTTAAAAGCTCCCTCTTTTTCATTGAGAAATTAAATTTTTCAAACCACACTTCTTCCCCTTTTTGTTATATCAAAAATAATTCAACTTTAAAGTTAAAAAATAACAATGGAGAGTAAGTGGTAAATGTTATCATAAAATTATTTGAAAAATCAAAAACTCCCCCTTAATAAAAGCATTCCAAACAAATATTTGATTTTTAAAAGCTTGACACTTAAAAAAAATTGAATTTCAAGAAAGATAAACAAACATGTTAGTAGTATATGAAATTCAATATATCTAAGTCTAATATACTTTATGCAATACCGATTGTTGAAATTAAGTACATGTGCATAAAGCTTTCCAAAAATGTTATGCATTTGAAAATTTTGATATCAATTGTTAGAGATATATCATTTGCATTTTAAACCACATGCATAAACATTTAAATTTAGGTCAAAAATTTAAAAAAAATTGCAAAATCAAAGCATTTGAAAAATTGTTAGAGAGATGTCATTTGCATTTAAAATCAATTTTGACCAAAATTTATTATGATGAACAAACATTTATGAAAAATCATTAAACTTTAGAAAATGTTCATTACAGTTATTTTTAACATACATGAGATAGAAATCAACACAAAATCATTTAAGTTTAAAACTCATGCATGCATAAACTAAATGAGCAACAAATTATGCAAAATTAAAAAGCTTTTAAGCTTAGAGGTTACCCATTCATTTTCAAGTGTGGCTAAAACATTTGAATAACTTCAATTTCATCACCATTGCTCCCACACACCTACAAGAGACATTTATTTGGATTTTGATATCCAAATTGCTTTGGATCCTTGGACGTTAGTTTCAATACCCCTTGTTCCCTTATGAACCCATACTTATCTAATTTTAAAAGTTTTTCTTTTCTTTATAGGACAAGCATATTCCACATGACCATGAAAATGGTAATGTGAGCATTTTGCCATTTTTAAGCATAACGAGTTGTTTTTAGAAATTAATTCTTTTTCTTTTGCTAAGCTCTCAAGCTTAACTTTCAAATCAAAATTTTCTTTTTCTAAACCATTGATTTTGATTTTTGAAATTTCTAAATCATTTTTCAAAGTTTCATTTTGATTTTCAAAATCAACTTTGGCTTTTAAAATCAAATCATTTTCAACTTTATATTTTGAAATTAATTTCTTATATTTGTAATTCATGATCTCAAATTCCAAATATAGCTCATTATAAGCATCTTGTAACTCATCAAAAGAATGTGAATTTAATTCATTTGAGTTAGAAGATACATTGGGCTCTTCATGAGCCATTAGAGACACCACTTTGTTGGTTCTTCTTTCTTGTCTCCATAGATTTTCTCGATCTTATTCCAAAACTCTTTGGCATTCGAACAAGAAGAAACTTCTTCATAGATATCAGGACCAAATGCACAAAACACCATGTGCATGGCCTTGGCATTTTGTTGAGTTTTCTTCCGTTCTTGGTCACTCCATTTCTTCGTCTTCTTCATTGGAGAAGAGTATCCATTCTCGATCATATCTCTTGCGTCAAGATCATTGGATTTGATAAATAACTTCATTACTTTCTTCTAATGACGGTAGTTTGCTCCATTGAAATATGGAGGCTTGTTGATCGGTTGAGAGTCTTCCATGTAGAACGAGCCGGAGGTGGAAGTCATCTTCTCGGTTGCTTCAAATATGGATAGAGCTTTTTCTAGGATCATCTCAAGGTTGTTAAACCTTCTAATGAGTTAAACTATGATACCAATTGTTGGATTTATGAAGCTCAAATGACAATTGAAAAAGTTCGCTAATAAGGGTGAATTGACTTTTTTGGAATTTTAGGGAGTAAGGAGAATTAAAGGGATAGAAAATTGTTGCACAAGGATTTATAGTGGTTTGACTTTCTCAACCAAAGTCTACATCCACTACTTAAGCTCCTCACTTAGGATTTTCCAACAAACCCACTAATTTGTTCTTTCTTTTTCAAGGACAAAGAGATAACCTTTATAACTCCCTAGCTTTTAACAGGCTTAGCTAGAACCAAAACCCCTTTACAAAGGATACAAGGAAGTAAACAATAAAACCTCTACAAGGTAGGTGTTTATAAATTAAAGCTCACAAGAACAAAATATTTACAAGAGAAAGTAAAATAGGAATGAAAAACTCTTCCCTTGTGTTTGATTGCTTGGATAGATGTTCTAACCCTTCTTCAAGTGTCTTGAACTTGTATTTATATGTTGGAATGTGTTTGTGGTCGTTTCTAGCCGTTGGGAGTGATTTGGAGCCGTTGGGGATGTTTTCTCTGCAAAATAAAAATGCTCAGGACAGAGGGTATCGATACTCCTATAGGGAGTATAGGTAACACCATTGTAATATTTAAATAAAACTAGTCGTTACTAGCCGTTGGGCTTGACGGTATCGATACTATCCTTCATGGTATCGATACTACTATGTAAAGTAGTATCGGTACCTATTTTGCATTCTGGAATTTGAGCAAACTGGTAGTATCGGTACTACCTATAGAGTATCGATACTTCTCTTACCCTTGGTATCGGTACCACATGAACATTATCAGTATTGTTCATATAATATCGATACTGTAAGAACAATATCGGTATTACGTACGTTGAAAATTAGTTTTGTGCTCAAATTCACTTTTAATAGACTTTGAATTATTTTTGAAAACTTTGAATAAATTCAATTCAAGTCCAAAAACAATTTGCCTTAATTTGTTATATCAAAATATTATAAAACATGGTTCAACAGTAACCATACTGCTGACTACTGGTGCTCCAGTGTCAGTAGTATATATTATCTTTGTCATGTGTATAAATTCAGCACTAGTGTTCCAAGGTCATCGTCCTTAGAATTTTGACATAAATTCTTGGATGATACTTTATGTCATTGATGTTCCTGAAAACGATACTAAGGTAACTTATATGACATGTCCAATTGTAACATTATATTTAAAGAAAGACATATGGGAAGGGTTGCTTCCTATTTGGATAAAGTATCCAAAATCGTGGTCCTTTTCCTCCTTATTAATTGGATGAATGTTGATGTTTTTTCTGATCTGCATGCAAAAAGTTATCGGCATATCTACCCATAAATAGGGAAACATGTTTCTAAACGAAGATCAAGTCTAATGTTCATTAGTTGGGACTAATACATATTTAGTTGGGACTAATACATATTTATGACGTGTTTGTCGATAGGTAAAGCACAAGTACACGATTGCACCGCGTTCGACTGTTTCTGAAGCAAGGAAATCTCCTCTGCTTCTTTTGGAAGGAAGACAAAGATTCTGCAAAAGCAAACAAGAAAGGCATCAGCATTCTTACTAAAACCCAAGTTGATGCAGATTTTTTGAAAATGAGGAGCATGACTGCTGAAGAAGCTGCTGCAGCTGCAGCAATTGCAGAGGTAGAAGTTGCAATCGCAGAAGCTGAAAAGGCAGCAAGAGAGGCAGAACTGGCAGAAGCTGAAGCAGAAGCAGCAAAAAATTTTGCTAAAGCAGCCGAGAAAGCATTGAAGTCCAGGATTCTAGATACCTGGTAACTCTGTAATCCATTCTTATTTTTTCTTCGTATTGAACTTTGTTCATAGATTTGAAAACACAGGTTTTCTATATGGATGCTCAAGTTGGTTGTTTAAGAGGGATAGTCGTGATATTACCTCCTGCAGCTCTGCCAGTCGACAAACCTTCATTGCGACAATTTCACATCCTTTAAACAAATTTTATTTTTCTTATTTCTGTGGCCCTACTTCAACCTTTCTTCTATATGGTTTAAAATTTTCTGAAACAAAGATGAAGGAAGGATAGCTATTAGTTTTCTATAGTATCATTGGGCTTCTTTCATAAAAAATCTCATTGAAAGCTGGCAGTTACTTTCAATTCCTTTCATCAATTTTCTCCTCTTCTTGGATTCTCTTCTTCTTCCCATTGATTTTGACAACAGTATATCCTATAAATAGTGACATGGTGCCACAAGACTTTTTGACATCCTTCGCTTTCATGTTTTTGGAAAATCCTATATATTTTCATGTACATCCAAGAGAATAGTGGGAGTGATCAGACATTTTTTACATTATTTTTTAATGTCTGTTACATGAAGAAATATCAGTGGAACCTCAACTCGTCACGAAAACCTGTAGATGCTTGAATCAATGAGAAAATTTTTATGCTTGTCATTTATCTGCATGTCTTTTAGCATCAACTGGTTATTATGTATGATTGAGCTTCCCAGATATCACACTTTTACTCACCATTTCAAGTTAAAAGAATCAACCCTGTGCATCTATTGACTTCAGTAATGGGAGTTCATTTAGCTTGGCTTACAGAGTATGTTACAAGCGTATTTAGGGGCATGTGGGTCACATTTGATTTTTATACTGAGTCTGGAATTTGTATGATTTTAATTCTGTTTGTAATATATGAATGATTTTATGAACTTGTATTTTATTTATAAATTGTTTTATGATTTTACATGTTTTAACAAAAATTTTAATTTTTGATTTTTATTGTAGGTCTCTTCGGTGGCCCTAATGTGACATCTCGGATCGGATCGAGTCACCCGTATCGGTCTGAGAGTGTTACAGAGCCATTATTCTATAGGCATGATAATTATGATCAACTGTCCAAGATAGCCAAGGTATGCGAATTCGTTTAAGTAACAATGAACAGACATGGCCGTATACATCCTTGTAATAAAATAGTTCTGCTTTTGAGGCTTGTTTAGATATTTACTTCCTATTCATTATTGCTGCTGTTTTTTTATAGAAATGTCGTACTTATATCGTGCGTCACTGAGGTCTTGGGCGAGAGTCCTTTTCTTTTAGTTGGAAATAAAATTGATTCCTATTGTTCTCAAGCATTTTAATTCCCTTCTCAGGTTCTTGGGACAGATGAATTAAATGCTTATCTGAATAAGTACCGCATAGAAGTGGATCCACATCTTGCAGCCCTTGTTGGGAGGTTGGTGGTATATGATCTTTATGTCAAATTGATCTTGAAGAAGTGCTGTTATTTCCAATTGAGAAATATACTTTTCTTGATACAGGCGAAGTCGAAAACCTTGGACAAAGTTCGTCAATGCTGAGAATCAACATCTGGCATTACCTGAGGTAGTAATATATATCAAGTTCTTGTACTATTCAGGTTGTTCTGTTCTGTGTACCGTTTTCCATCTTTAAATTACACTTGTTTTTTATTGTAAGGTCATTGACTTCCTTGATAAGTTGCTTCGATATGATCATCAAGAAAGGCCAACTGCAAAAGAAGCAATGGTAAACTCCTGATCTATATGAACCTATTGAAGAGCCTCTGTATTTACCGGACCCCACTTTTAAGATAATATAAGTGCAGTGCATCTGTAGGCACCTAGCAATGGTGTTATCTTTTAATGTGTCAATCTCGTCCTTGAGATGATTTATTTGTCACGCAGGCTCATCATTATTTTAACCCGGTTAGGAACGCCGAGAGCAGCAGAACTTGTCCCTAACATGCTAAATTTGTGAAGCTGTCAAGCGCAAGCAATGGCATCTTATCTTCATTGTGCCTTGCTTGGGTAAGGATCCTGCCTGTGTAGTCCGACTGAAGATTTGGTGTTGGAGCTTTTGAATTTAAGAAATCTTTGAAATATGTTTTATCTGTTTTTTACAACAGAAATTTCTGTTCTTCATTCCAGAATTTCACATTTGCTCAAATACTTGTGAGTTCTTCAAACAAGAACATTTCCTAAATCTGATTTGAGTGTACATTCATCTTCAGCCCGGGATCTGATAATATTAAAAACAAAGAGGTCAATGGCGGAAAATAAAGGGAAATTATAGTTCTGGGGTTAAAAAAGAAGACTAGTTTCACCGGTCGTTCAGCAATCCCCAATCGTTGCATTAAAATGTTGAATGCTCACCCTAAAAAACACTTGTGTGCCTCAATACGCCACCCGGCTAAAGAAATTCAATAATTGCAAAGCAATTCTTTAGGGATTATAATATAGTAATATAGGGATTTAAAGAATTAAGGTTTATATATTTAGAGATTTAATTATGAATGGAGTTGTTTTTGGATTTAAATTCTAATACAAACTTTTGATAAAATATCGATTTAGCATTGTATTTCATTTATTTTTCTCTTTCTTGAGAATAATTTAAAAACTCTCTCAATCTTAGAATACGATCAAATTTTCCGATTGTTTGCTTTGTTTATTACCGTCGTTGATCATTGTTGACCTTCATCGCCAATGGTGATTGGAATGACTGTTATCACATAGAGTGATTGAATTTCAAAATTTTCAGTTAAGCTCCTTATGACCTCTTAAACATTAATATGATGTTTATTTCACCGAAATATTTTAATATAAATTTATAAAGATGTAAAATAATAATAATAAATAATTTCTCTTAATACGTCTAATAATAAATTTATTGTCTAATAATAATAATCAAATAATCGATGTCAATTACTTATAAAAGACAACCAATAACATATCCAACCATATACTATAATCCAGTATTACCAAAGAGTGAGAGGAAAACAATGAAAAAAGAAAAGGAAATAAAGAGACGAAGAGTCCAGTTGAAATAACTGTCAACAAAATAAAACAAGCATTTAAGGTTTTTCTAAGTTACTAATTATTGTAATTATCCAAAGTATTCTTTCAATTTTTTGGGTAAATTACAAATTTCATCATTGAACTTTACTCCATCTCATGTTTTGCTCATTGAACTTTAAAAATTCTTGATTTCCTCAATGAACTTAATACACTAGATTTTTTTGTCACTGAACTTTACCCTCTCTCCTATTTTGGTCACTCCACCTTTAAATAGTTACAGACATAAAAAAACGAAACCATTTCTAAAAACAAATTTTTTTACTAAAACGATGTCATTTTGAATCTATATAACAACACATTTTAATGTCGTTAACCATTTAACGACTGAGTGACAAAAAAACCCAATGTATTATATTCAGTGAGGAAATTGAAAAGATTTAAAGTAAGGTGAGTGACATAGGATAGAGAGTAAAGTTCAGTTGCCAAATTTATGATTTACCATTTGTTAAAAAAAATCAAAAGATGTAAAGTGTGGATGGAAACAGGAAATGGTGGGCTGTTGAATGACATTAATTTTGGTGTTTTCCCAAAAAAATCATCTTTTTAATTTAATATTTTCGATCAGGCACCGACCATACTATATTTTTCGATCTAACACCCTTTGCAGTAAGGCGCGCCCTCTGAAGTGCGCTAAATGTTGATTTGGCGCCACGTGGGGTAAGGCGCCCCCCCTGCGGCGCGCCTTATGCTGACATGGATACACGTGTGTATGGCGCGGGGCAGGGGCCGCGCTATTCAATTATCTCAATTATCAAACATGCATAATGCAAGGCGCGGTGCAAGGACCGCGCCTTGCATTATTTTCCCAAACTTCTCGACTTTAAGGCATCCTCTCTCGGCTATAAATACCCGTCTCCCGTAAACTCTCTCACCAACAATCCTTTGAATCAGTAAATAACATCCGACAATCATCTTATATTTGATTCAAAGTTTGCTCGATCTTTTGTTATAAGGTAATTTTGTTATAATATTTATTTTATAGTTATATATGATTATTTGAAAAAATATTATACTAATTGTTTTCAATTAATTTCTGTGTTTGTAGAATTAGAAAGTGGGAGCATACGTCGAAATATTTTTGCGGTGCAGGTAATAATATAAAATTATATTATTTAAATTATTTATGTTTATGTGTAAAAAATTTATTCTGTTATATTTTTGGTCATATATTATTTATTTAATCAGGTTTGTTTCAGTTGTTTTTTTGCATATATAATATTGTTGCACTTTTAAACTCTAAGAATGACGCGACTTTCAGCTATTGTTTATTATGATGTAGAAATTCGAGAAGATGAAACTGGCGTTGTTTTCGTATCAAATGAGCGTGTTAAAATATCATTCAAGAGAAACATAAGTCTTGAGGAGTTGATAACGAAGATTTTGAGGAAGGTTCATGTTGGAAGTAGTTGAAGAATGTCGTCGTTGCAGTACAGATTTCCAACATCATTGTTGCCATTAATTTATACAGCGTTCGAACTATCGAACAATGATGATGTTGAAATGATGGTTGATTCTCAAAGTAATTATTCAGACGGCGATATTGAGATGTATGCAAAGTTTGTTCAAGTGCTTGTTGTTCGGGGTCAGCCATTAAGCTCACACTATGGGCTGGTTGAACAAGTTGATCAAGTTGACAGCCCGACTACAGTAATGTGTAATGATTTTACTGCCATAATGGAAAATCCACATCATGGTGCCGACACATCAACTTCAATGGGGAGACATTCATCCGCAACTCCTTACGATATGTACCGAGGTAGGTCCATGAACAATCCGTATTGCAACATCGCGTCCAGTTCGAGGGGAAGGTATTCATCTGTAAATTTATTTAACCTTAATATGGAGATGCCATCGACGCAAAAATCTGTGCAGTTTTCATTTTACACGATGGCTTCAACCTCCAGGGGGAGGCATTCGACTGCGAGCTTTTTCGATCTCAATCTAGATATGCCTTCTAGTTCAAGGGAAAGGTATGCCAGTAATAGGTTCTTTGACCTAAATGTGGAGAGCATGGAGGAACCATCATCTCCACCAGAAGAACCGCTTCGTGAGCCTGGTGCGGATGGTGTTGAGACTGGACTATTCATTCACCCAGAATCACCGCAATTCAACTCCGATGGTAATGATGATGTAGATGAAGTTCCAGTAAATGTGGCACAAACTGACCCTCCAGCACACATGTATGAAGCTGATTATGATGCAATGTACGGGCCAGAATTTGCGGATATGCCTCATCTTGGTGACTATGGATATTACTCATCAATAAATAATGGTGAGTTATCTTTAGGCATGGAGTTTTCAAGCAAGGAAGAAGCGATGATGGCTATAAAAAATTACAATATCTGTAATTCTGTTCAGTCCAGAGTCGATCGCTCCACGACCAAAAAATATGTATGCTACTGTGCCCGACGCGAAAACAGATGTAATTAAATGGTTCACGTATCGAAGAGGAAGAGGAAGAGGAAAAACAACAGATGAGAACTAACAGTATACAACGGTCCTCACACATGTTGTGCTGGAGGGGTCAACCAAGATCATCCCAATTTGGACTCTGAAGTGATATGCCAAGCCATCATGCCCATGGTAAAAGCAAGCTCTCATATAGCTCTTGCAGTGTTGATTCCAACTATATAATCGCAGTATGGGTACAATGTCTCTGTAACACCCCTAACTCATATTCGACCCGAATACAAGTCTGAGATGTTACATTGACTTTTCAAACTTTGATTCTTAAAGAAAAATCTCGGGAATTTAAAACTTTCATTAAAACAACATACTTTAATTTACATAAAAGAGACCACTTAATACAAAATCGATCAAAGCATTCGTAATTAACCACTTATTACATACCAACACTTTATACACAATAAAATACCTACTTTGTCAATTACTTCTGATCTGATTTCTTAGTAATGTTGCTGTCCGTGCCACTGCTATTCTGAATCTTCTTATTTCTTGGTACCTACGTGTAAATCACTTACACGCTAAGTATAGACTTAGTGAGGTAATAAATGAATATGCAACAATATCTTCATGAATACGCATTCTTACCATTTCCTTCATGATATTTCAATATGCATGTATCTATTACACAATAACATATATAATCATATCATGCATGTATAAAACTTACCTTATTGTACCACTTTCACTTTACTTTGTATTTCAATTGCCCATATATATTATTGAGAATAGAGGTATGTGAGTGCATTGAGGTTGTGCACTAATGCTGTCACCACAGCTCGTATCAATTCCCTCATGAGGCACCGAACCTTAGTTCAGTATTCGTCCCGAAGGACTGTCATATATGTCCCGTAGGACCACTACATCCCGAAGGACTACGTCCCGAAAGACTATTATACTATCGACTATTGGCATGCCAATTACACCTATAGCTCTCATATCGTATACTATGGGCGTTATTCTTATATTTTATATATTCATGTACTCATGTCATTTCTCTTGTGATCATGTAGCTCATGTCATGTTCTCATATCACATATCATATCACATGTGTATTTGAATCTATTCATATATATACATCATTTATCCAATCACATGAACATATATATGCCTTATGCATGTATTACAATAATTATCATGTATGCATGTTCAAAACTATTGTACTATGAAAATCAATATAGGAATTAGACTTATCACAAGTCTTATTCCATTATACTATACATATAGTATGCACTCACCTTAGCTTTGCTTTGATTCGATTCTAATCCTTTTATCGTTCCGGAATAAGTTTACTTTTAGTATCTATATAATCACACATGGATCTATATCAGTATTATAGTTAATATACTCTAATGGTTCACTCTTTAGATTAAGATAAATGCCAATTTCATCTTTTAATGAAGGTATGCATCGATGCACTACTTGTGCATCGGTGCATAAAATGCATTCGATGTTTTATTATTAATGGGATGCATCGATGCATGCCTTATGCATCGATGCGCTAATTGCATTCGATCTTTTTATTTTAAAAGAGTGCATCGATGCACTACCTGTGCATCGATACACCTTCAAACA